ATAGTATATATATATATATATATATATATATATATATATATATATATATATATATATAGATATACGGGAGAGATCTATATATATTTATATCTATATATTTGTAAAGATGGGACAGTATCCTGGGTTTAAATCATAGCTTCTTATGACCAGGTATTACCCAGAAATAAATCAGATTCTTCGAAGATGGCCAAGCCTGGAATGAAGTTTCTGGTTGGCAATTTTTTTTCATATCATATACCTTAAAGGAGGTTGAACTTGTGTTAACAAGGGCGTAAACAATGTCGTCCAAGAAGCCAAATCTGGAAATGATAAGCGCACACTAATTCAAAGAGCCTAGCCATTTTCCCTAAACTTTTACATTTAAACTTTACAGCTTGGTACTCCTTCTTCAGATACATAAAGATACATTTATGTCTATATCGATCATTGTACCTATATACAGAACGTTAAAGAATGTAGTAAAGTGACCGTAATTTTGCTTGACGCGTCATATATGAAATCAATTTTAATTTAAGAGTAGTCTTGACACCAAGAAATGATTAAGTTTATAGTCTATTTAACACCTAATATATATAGTTTTAAGTCTAAATATTTTCGCTTAATCAGCAGTGTTTTGTATAGATCGATTTACTTATTGATAGCGCTTAGCAGTTAACCCTATCTAGAATGGGGGGGGGGGCTAAAAGTGCCCGCGACAACCTTGATGTCAGATAACGGCTTTTGCTAGGGCCACCAAACTAAATGACTTTAACTATATTGTTGGCAACAGTTTTATAGCAGTGAAATATTTTTTTAATCCGGTTTCTGACAGGCATTTTCCGCAAAAATCAATAATTTTGACTTCAACAATGACATTTTCATGCTTTTATCTTAATTTACACATGCCTTCAAATATTAATAACATATGATTTCATGCAATTTGTTGAAGTAATATGCATACTTTATGCTAATGTGATAACGTCATTGGCCAAAATCCGACATGGTGGTCCATATCATTAGAGAAGGTACGATTTGCTTTTTTCCTTAAAATTTCATCCCAACAAGGAAAAAAAGGGTAATTTGAACCTCTTTAGTCTATTTCCATTGTAATCTTACGCTTTATCTTGGAAACAAAGTATTTTTGAAATTTCAATATTGACGATCCAAGATGGCGAATAGTTGTTGTTGCTATGGCAAAATACGATTAAGTAGACCTAAATATTTTATCATAAACATTTTTTTGTTGAACTTGTGCTGTACACCGTTGTTTTACGAGAAAAACGGTTTTAGGCAATATATCACATAAATGACGTCATAATGACTTCATGTTACGTCATAACGATACCGAAATTGTTGATATGATTTATTATTACTAGTACACCATACTCTGATAATTTGGTGGCCATACAATATATACCGTTCTCTAGTTTTTAGGGGGGGGGGATGCTGAGTCCTAAAGATCCCTTAAACCCCAGTTTAGATAGGGTTAATAGTTTAATTGGATTGGTAAGTCAATGAACAAAAAGACGCCCTTTACATCTATGTTGTTGTTTTGTTTTTTTACTTTAAAACAATTGTTATCACATTCCTATTTATTTAGACTGCAGTGTATTTTTTTCGACCGCGTAGATAGTTTATATATATCTGTATCTATTTCTCAAATATTATATATTACTTATGTTATGTAACGCTCGTGTAAAAAGAGTCTTTTTATTCATCGGTGTCGATAAGTTTGGGCTATTGACCAGCTTCATGTTTGTTAACCATTTCTAGATAAATGTCGCGTTCAATCTTATATTTGAATGTTGGTTCTCCCTTCATAACAGCCCTTATGTTGACCTTTTCACTTAAAATCGTTCGTCCACCCTCTTGTCCCCTTCGCAGTTGGCCCATAAGCTGTGACACCTGCAAAACAAAAGAATAAGAAATCAACGGTCACTGCAAGGAATCTGATATTTCAACATACATTAAAGCACGTGTAAAGGCACACTGCAACTGATGAACTATTATAAACTATTTCCTTTTCGCTAGAAATAGCCTCTAGTGCGTTACAATTCTTTTTTCTTCAAGAGAAAATGTCTGTAAGGATCAAGCAATGGTGGTAGGGGTCCAAAAATAGATTTGCCTCATATTTTGACCCCATAAAAGCAGGAAATGCTGTGACCTGACCTGAAGTTTACTTAACCTTTCTTCATTACATGTAATGCAAAAACACTGATACTCCTGTCATTCGCGGCTCACTCTCAATACTAGTATTTCTAACATGTGTAAACAGGATGATTTATTCATAGTCTAAGAATATCATTGTAAAAAAAGTACTTTCGAGAGGAATACGTGCTAATGATTCTTTTAGTAACTGAACTTCTAACACTATTTTGGAGAGTTTTTTAAAACTAGCACGCATCTGTAAAAACAGAGTTGTTATTAGTTTCCGTTTACAAACTGATAGGTCATACAGAAATCATACAACTAGAAGTATCTAAATATTGCCCAAACGAATGCATTATAAAATCGACACATTTTATTAGTCAGTGTATTTACCGTGAAACCAACAGAAACAGATTATTTCAAACAGTTCAATTCCCCATCCTTTTCCAATCTGGAATTCCACAAAAAACTACGTTATACTGAGATCACAAAACCCACTCATTATGTAGAACGTGGAACTATACATTATTCAGTACCTTCAAATAAGAAGCCAAACCCCAGAATAGCAAAGGAAGTAGTATTATATAAATTGATAAGACAGTAGTTGTGTGCTCTCAATTGCTTCACTTTACTTCTTAAACCCGGTACATGCCTTCGGTCATAATTTTGTAATTAAAGCTATAAATAAAACTTATTAGTGAATAATGTTTGAAGTAAGATCCACCGTTGTTTCTGATATCTTCACTGTATCAAACAAATGTCAAGAAGTTTGGACTCACAAGAGAGAGCTTCCAACATCAGCTGGACACTTGTTCTTGCAAGATGGGCGTGACGGCGGAAGAACCACAAACATCTCAGAAAACCACAGGCGCTAACAACAATGTCGAGACCGTGTCTGATGACGAACAGGACGACTTTGAGGGGTTTGCAGACCAGAGTGACATTGACAGCGAGGATTCGGAAGCAGAAACCTACGATCTTTTCGAAGAGATGGACATCTCTGCGAGAGATCCTGATGCAGGAATCCAGATCAACAAGAGACCGCGTGCCGTCACTCGCCATGACTACCAAAACAGCATCATATCCCGGGACACCTTAGAACAACACATTGAAAACCTATCGGACACTCACAATGTACATCTGATCAAGGTCATGAAGGTGGAAAAGACTACGGTCAGTATGACTATTGGCGACAACAAAGAGGTCAGTCTACTTGGCACCATGAAGACGTTTGCGTGCCACAGGGCCGGCATCCCAAGAAGAAAACGGCTGAGCAAACGGCGAAGGAAAAAGAGCAGTGCAGTTGGATGTTCCTTTCGCGTGAAGATTTTCACCCCGGACGAAGAGAACCAGCCACTACAAGTTCGCCTCTTTCCACACCATTGTAACCACACCCCTGGCTCAGAGGAGGACAGCTGCTACCTGCCTGTACATGAGACTGTGGTTTGCTGTTCCACTGACTGTCTCGGTGTAGGTATGACGGCACAGCAAACCTCCAACATGCTCCTGTCCATGCAACAGTTTGTGTCTATTGTAAACATAAACAACGGTCGCTGGAGGACAACTCTGACAAGGAAAGAAATGTCTCAGCTTCAGTATGAAATGCGCTGTAGCAAGAGGGTACACCAGGATGACTGGGTCGGCACCTACGCCAAGGCACAGCGTCTCCGAGACCAGGGCGTATGTATTTTCTTTCAAGAATACGACCCTGACAATAAAGACCCCGACAAGAGACCATTTGTCCTAGTTCTCCAGACAGAATGGCAACGGCAGATGGCGGAGCGCTTCAGCCCAAACAGCGTCTGGACGGTAGACTCCACATTCGGTCTGAATTCTTACGGCTTACCTGTCTTCAGCGCAGTAGTGCCAAATCAAAACCGCCAGGGACTGCCAATCTTCTACTTGATAACGTCAAATGACGTTAAGACCAGCCATGAGGAGACAGTCTCTTACTGAAAAGAGGGCTGTACAGAACGACCCCTTGTCCTGGGAAGATGGAACTCAGACCAAATGCCGCCTTCTCTTGTGCTGGTTCCACGTCAAGAAGGCATGGACGGAGAACTTGCTCCCAAATTTGGACAGATGGCAGCCGACGTGTACGACAGACTGTGTGAGCTATGCTGCAGCCGACGTGGCAGAGCTTTGATGATAACTAGGCGCAGTTCTATGCCGAATACGAGAACGTCCAGCAAGTCACCAAGTACATGTGTGGGTGGGACTGAGACGAATGGCGTAGCATGTGGGTAGGTGCTGGTCGCATGTTTCCCCATGGAGACACTGACACCACGAATCTCATCGAGCGTCACTGGGAGTTGATTAAGTACACAACATTCAACGGGAGGGCAAACCATCGTCTGGATGTTCTCATGGACGCTCTCGTTGGAAATCAAAACGATGGCACTTTCCATGGGGGCAAAGTGCAGTAGGCTTCTACATGGAGAAACAAAAGGAAGTAAACCTCGGACTCCACACCACAAGAGCAACGACGGCAGAGAGGAACAGACAGGCCATGGCAGAGATGTATATCCAGGCATACAGCAAGGACAGCTCTGTTCTCCGGTTGCAAAATGGATCACTGCTTCTGTTCAAAGTCAAAAGCAGTAGCAGAAAGGGGAAGCGATACAATGTATGTCTAACCACCACGATCTGTGACTGCAGCGACAACTTTCACAATGCCATCGTCTGCAAACATATATGCGCATGTCGGCTATAGAAGTACAGAAGTTCAAACCCCATCTGTTAGCAAACATAGCTCCCCCGGACGCTAGAAACCCAACTATTCTCGCAGCTTCAAACATTGGGTCAAGTGCCGGCGACACTGGGGACGAGACGGCAGACTCAGTACCCACACCTGAAAGTCCGGACGCCGATCACTGGTAATTGGCTACTGTACAAGTGAAAGAACAGGGTCCGTGGGCCTTGATAAATTATTCATAAATAAGTCGGTCGCCGCTAGAAATTTACTGGATGGCATTCAGTGACGACCCCCCAGTCCCAAAGGTTCCAAAAAGGCCCAGTCTAGATAGCGTTAAAATTAAATTCCTAGATCCTGGATAGCAATACCTACCACAGACTGTATGAGACGGCAAAACACGGCGTCGACTTCAAACTGGTGATTCCACTTTGAAGCTGCTACTGTCAGGTTGGGTGCCCCTTCCCATCGCCCATAGGCTAAGCAGTACGTATTGACATCTCTGTTCATCTTCTTAAAGTGGAAAACTTCCTCATGGAAGTCCGGACCCTATTTTTAAAGAAATAAAGAACCGGTAAGGTTCTTCAAGTTTTAACGGAGAAAGTGTTTTTTAGATTAAGCTATAATAATCAAACTCGCTAACCTTTTCTAAATGCATTCGGCTAAAACTCCATCATTACTAAACAAGTAAACAAAAAAAGAGAAGTCCTGTTGTCTAAGGATAGTATCATAGTGTTGAATTTTAAGCCCTTAGTATAATATCAATTTCTCAATTTATGTTCATTTAATGACCGCATTAAAAAAAACCTCTCATCTACACTATACAAACATTTTGGATAATTTTCGTTGTGTTTTTTATATAGCCTGTTTGTTAAAATGTTTCTATTTAAAATGTGTCATTACGTTCGGAAATAATCTACGTAATTCATCCAGTAGTACTTTTTTTTGCCTATAAATATTCTTGTAATATACTTACTTGTGCTCCAATTTTTCGCCACAAAGATGTGTTGAACGTTTCATACAATAAGTAATCCACGGCTTTCCACTTTCGGAGGTTTGAAATCTGTTCTTCAGAGGGGGTGTACATTTTGTACGTATATGTGCGATTGTTCTTAACAACGTAAAGAACGTCTTTCAGCTCCCAGCACATCAGTCTTTTAAGGAGAACGAGTGACTCGTCCAGGTATTCCAACAACATGATAAGAGTGAAGTCGGTTTCTAGTTCACTGATGTATTGGCGAGCCAGTACCTTGACAAGCAATAGATAAGAATATACAGATTTTTATTTTTACATTCTGTTAAAACATAATACAAGACTTAATGCCTTGTTGTTAACAATTCGATATTTATACTACTTATTAAATAAATTCAATATTTTAAATAAGCGACCAGACCCATGCATACTGAATACATTTAGCCTAGTGTGCTGTGGGTCTGGCACCTAGGCCAAACTTCACAATTTTACATGTATGCGTCATAAAAGACACAGAAATTGGATATACTAATGGTATAAAATGCCTGCAATGCCAGTACAAGTTCAATTTTATATTTAATTTACAAACAAATCACAAAACCTAATGAGCTAGTGTACTAATGAAATTCTATAAGGTAATTTACAAAACATTGTCGGATGCTCTGTTTCAGGGCGATTCCAAAGGGCGAGAAAGAATGTAGTAGTGTTATAGATGTATCCGATGACTACACCACACATGGAACAAAATCATTTTTTTTGTGGAAAAGTATACTCCGAACCCTGTACTAAAATGTGGGTTATACAAGGTATTTTGTACGCAATCCCCAACTGTCACGTCACTCCTACTGGTATTTACTACCATTTGGTAAATCCAACTTTTAATGCTGTAACAGATACCTCGTTCTCAGCTCCTTCAGCAGGGTAACCCAAGTCAAAGGCAATAAAGTTCCTGGTAGGGTCCCAAGTAATATTGCAGAAGCCAAAGTAAACCTCAGAAAGATTCTTGTACTTCCAAGGATTCGTCGAAAATTCATTTACCGGGTTAATGACATCCCTAAGTTTTAAAAGTTGTGGTAAGGAGTAGTAGTTCATGGCGGAGATTAAATGGTTCGCTGGATTTCGAATGATAGCTGTATGTGAAAAAAACAAACATTTGCATTATTGGCAGTGGGCCCAGTATATATATATATATATATATATATATATATATATATGATACCAATTTTAACGGGTGTAGTAATGAAATTAAATCATAACAACAACTTTGGCGTAATAATGACGTCATATGACGTCCTTGTGACATCATTTATGTGATTTTCGGGGTGAAATTGTCATTTTTTTCTTTAACTCAGAGGGATACAACCGAAATTTAACAAAAAGCATATATGATAGAATATTAAAGGCCCATTATGTAACTTTTGGACAATACAAAAAGTATATTTTCCAGTCTTTCATTTATATAGTAAGTTGACTTAACCCTTTAGTATTCCAAACAGTATTCAACAATAGAAAATGCAACATCCTTGTTCAATACAAGCATGATAGAAAACCAAGAATGTTAATTGACTGATTGTATAGTTTTGAATGGATACATTGTACAAAATCAATGTGGTAATAAACATCTCTATACTGTCCAAATACTTTTCAAAATAACATTTAGTTGCTATACAACATCATTGTCCTTTTTATATTTAGGTAGCACTATATATTTCTTTTCTTTTGGTCAGAATGGTTTTCTTGCTACAGGAAATGTGAGATCTTATTTCAAGAAATCTTTTCTTGTGTACAGAATGGTTTTCTTGCTACAAGAACAGTTAGATCTTAGCTCAAGAAATCTTTTCTTGTGTACAGAATGGTTTTCTTGCTACAAGAACAGTTAGATCTTTGTTCAAGAAATCTTTTCTTGTGTACAGAATGGTTCTCTTGCTACAAGAACAGTTAGATCTTAGTTCAAGAAATCTTTTCTTGTGTACAGAATGGTTTTCTTGCTACAAGAAATGTGAGATCATAGTTCAAGAAATCTTTTCTTGTGTACAGAATGGTTTTCTTGCTACAAGAAATGTGAGATCATAGTTCAAGAAATCTTTTCTTATGTACAGAATGGCTTTCTTGCCACAAGAAGAGTTAGATCTTAGTTTAAGAAATCTTTTCTTGTGCACAGAATGGTTTTCTAGAAAACTTAGAAATTCTTACTGCAAGAATAATATTCTAAGGGTATTTAGTTCAAGATACATAAAATAAATCTTACTATAAGAAAAATATGCTAAAATGCAGTTTCTTGAAATTCTTGTCTCCTGGACAATATTTTTTTGGGTGAAGAATAATTTTCTCAGTGGAAGAAAATTTTTCTTCAAGAAAAACAAGATTGGCATATACTATATAGATTTACTATATTTAATATGGTTCATATTTTTGTTTAGATATTCTTTCCCGTTCAGAGGTTTCCGTAAAACAAAGGGTTTAACAAGTCGCGGGTTTACTGTAAATGAACGCGGAAAACTGAAGATCGAAAGCCCGTTCTGTTCGAATTACGTAAGATTGACGGTAATGAAGACGGTTGCGACTTTTGGGCCCAGATGCGTCCAATGTGGGACCTTATAATAGTCTTTATAGGGTCCTTACATTTTATATTAGCGATGATGACATACATTGAGTAGACTTCTTTCTTTAATGCCTTGGAAAGCTTGAACACAATAAAACATTTGTTTTGCCAAGCATATATTCTTTAAACTAGAAAGGCCAATATTTGCTTTGGAGCAAATACAGCGATGGGTTCACCACATTTTACGACATGTCAGGGAAAGAATGAGAAACACAAGGGAAAACAATGATTTACATTGATATAACTATAATATGAAGTAACATACAACTAAAACAACAGTTGGATAGCTATTCCCTACTTTATTGGTTAGGATTTTTAATTGCATAATGCAAACTGTTGATTTAAAAAAAAAACGTTACTATGCCCGCCATTCCAACTAGCTGGAGCAGAAAAGACTTGAAATAACCTACCAAAACAACTTGAATAAAGACATACTGTCAGTATGGAAATGCTCTGTGCAGGTGTTAATCAAGTTAAATCCCAACAGCCAATCAGCAAGAAATGCTCTGTGCAGGTGGAAATGCTCTGTGCAGGTGTTAATCAAGTTAAATCCCAACAGCCAATCAGCAAGAAGAATAGAGGAAAGCTGCATGCCTATTGGTTGATGCCCTGCATTCCATTGTGATGACTCATGCCCAGACGTGGTAAACACGGCACACTAACACAGTAATACATTTGCTATAACACAGCCAAAAAACTCAAATAAAACATTCTAAAAGCCTGTATCACAAAATTTAAAAAACGCCTAGGGGTATTTGCCCACTGTACCTCCATACCAAATTTCAGGACCTTAGGCCCTAAAATGAAGAAGCTGAATCCGTTTAAACTAGAAAGGCCAACATTTGCTTCGGAGCAAATGTAGGAATTTCACTCCATACCCTTCCCCAAACAAAAATGAGTAGATTCTAAATAAATCATACTGCAATTATACAAGGTACAAGCTGTTTGAATCTCGACAGGTATTTACAAAACTGGCACTTGGCAATTATCTCCCTTTTTTTTTTACAAAGATAACAACGACACGCACTTTAAATCTCGACAGCTTTACTTTACACTTTTGACGAGATTGTAACTACTACTAACGGAAGCAAAATTTTCACGGCCTGAGAAAAATGGACATGTTCACGGAAGATATATTCACGGTGGTGACAGTTGCAGGAAAAAGAAAGTCCAGGAATTATTTCCTAACTGTAATGATAAGTTCACAATACAGAGGTGACAGTGAAAACCGTGAACATTGACCCCCCGCTTGCGTTGCGGTACAGTGAAAAAAAATCGGGAATTACAGCAATCAATTTACTGAGTATGTTTGCTTAGTTTCCAGATGTTTTGTACTTGAGTTTTTAAAATGAACGAAAACCGATGCGCGCACAGATGTTACTTTTGTGACAACATCAAAGTGATTTTGGTTTGTATGTTGAAAAAATACAAAAGACTAACATTCGAAGTTATTGAAATTCTTGAGTAAGAACAATCAGTTTTGGAATGTTAAAAGCAAAGCGATGGATATTAAAACGAAAATGTTAAAATTAAATGTTGAAATTGTTAAAATGTAAAATGATTAAAATTGTTGAAATTGTTAAAAATGTTAAAATTGTTAAAAATTGTAAAAAGGGTAATTAAAAATATCCAGTGTACCGGGGTTCGAAGTCGTAATGTCTGGACTTGCAGCTCTGCGCGTTACCAACCGAGCTATCTGGACGCGTTTCCATTACTCTCTGCATTGTATGTCATATAAAGTGAACAACATGGCGGTAACGATCGCTTCAAGTACTAGTAAGGGACTTTCTAGGAGATTTCCTCTACAATTTTGGTGATTCTTCATAATAATACTAGTCGGTGAAGATTGTGGAAAATTGTTGATACCGTGGCGCGCGCGCGTGCGCCGACAATACACATTACGTACCGTTGTTTACAGTACTCGCGGGGTGCAGGTCATTTGACCTCCTGCTTGCGTTGTTCCAACAGAGAAGAGCAAAATATCTGCCAGTTTTTGCGTCAGATTTTCAGTGTTTGTTAAAATCATATACAGGCATCCATGCAGCTATAATTCTTCCAACTAGTTCGTAGTTAGGTGAAATGTTTATAGGAATCACACGAATCGGTATCCAGTATCAGAGTAT